CTTTAATAATAAATAATACAGTATTTTGCATAATTTAAAAAACTTCAATAATTAATTATAGGTTATTGATGGAGTTGGAACCAGTTATTTATTACTGTTTGTCATCTTTTAACTGATTGTTTGATCTTACAGTTGTAAATGAATAATAATACACTGGAATTGGTAAAATAATTCAGTTGTATTTCCTTAATGTATGTATTGCTTGTTTTGCGTGATTTACAGTTAAATTGTGAAACTTGAAATTAAATGTAAATGAAAAATTGCTTGATTAAGTGAATAGATGAATGGTAGTCTTACTGGATATTCTGCGAGATAGTGGACAGACCGGATAAATAAGGGACCCTACCATGAACGTTACCTCATACCGGACGGGGTATCGAGAATTGATATTTTGGCAGTCATATCAGACAGAAAATTGGGACGACCCGTTTCACTCTCATACTAGACGAGAAATGGGGACGACCCGTTTCACCCTCGTACCGGACGGAGTATTGAGGGATGATATTTTTTGTGCTTATACCAGACGGGGTATATGGACAATTCATTTCACTCTCATACCGGACGGAGTATTGAGGAATGATATTTTTGGCACTCATATCGGCGGAGTATGGGAACAAGCGATTAGTTGACAATGTTGAATGAGGGTTCACGTGTAGCGAGGACATCCCTATGGACCCCAATGGATACCAGTAGACAGATAAAAAGGAAAAGTTGTTGTTCTAACTAGTTGAAAATGAGATTATGATGTTATTTGTGTTATTGACTCTATAGGTCGGTTTTGAAAATTTCGCTACGATAAATATGTAATAAATAATTTTATTTATGATAAATGAATTTAGTTAAATTAAGAGTTCCACTAGTTATTTTTATAATTTTTACCAACATTCATTTCTATATTGGTAAGTAGTGGGATATTCTTACTAAACTAGTGTAGCTCAGTTTTTCATTAATCATTTCAGATCAAGAGGACCAAGATCCAAATCCCGATCCACAAGAGAGTTGCAAATAGGATATCCAGTTGTTTACTTTCTATTTATTTCTTTAATTTTCGTTTATTCTTTTAGAATGATTATTCTCGTAGCCCTATTGGGTATTCTTAATTATTGTATAAGGAATGTAAACTCTAACTTTATTATTTTGTTTCCGCATTCAATTTATAATTTATTTTCATTTAAGTTCCGGGTTGTTACAGTAAGAATCCGTTTGGTTAGGAGGTAGGTAGTCCATATTCAATGTGTTCACAAAGAAAAAATTTTTTGTGCTAATTTCTTAACCAACCACGCCTTTTTGGATCCTCCTGGGCTCCACTTCTACTGTAAACCTTTTGCTGATCTTGCTCAACTCACCAGAGATGACCTTATTAGGATGTCTTGGCCTAAAATGTGTATCGTTTAGGCTTGTTCTTATTTCTTCTTTTTTAATTGAAAAAGTGTAATATAATATTAAAAAAAAAACTCTTACACTATTGCATTTATATCAATTTAAATTTTATGCTTCTAATTATATCAATAGGGTTGTGTATTATGACTTTACATTAAATTAACTCTCGACAATAAAAATTATTAATTTTAATTTGGCTAAACACTTGACATTTTTATTAATGAAAAAAATTTATATATGAATATTTTATCTTAAAATTGGTCCATAAAAATAATGTAAATTTATTCATAAAAATAACTAAAATTTTGGTAATAAAAAATCTTAAGATCAACATGCTTTCTTCAATTCACTCTCAGTGAAAAGTATTTAATGCTCATAATATTGTTTGCATTTTCTTCTAATTTTGCACTAAATTTCTCTTATAACTTTTTTCATCAACACTCTTATGTCTCTTAATTAATAATTATTCAATCATGTACGATAATATCTGTAGTTAAATTTTTTTAATGTATGAATACATGCGCCGATATTATTGTATTTTACTTTCAACGTTAGCTTCAAAATTTGAGTCATATGACTAAATGATTCCATTAAATCAATCTCTATGCAAAATTTCACATATTTACCTTAGTTCTCCTAGAATGGTATTTGAGTTTATGTAAATGGGTTTACATAACTTAGTAAATTAATCAAAATAGTTACTCTCCAAGAATTGGTGACATAAGAAAGATGTTCATAATCCTAAAAACCCTTGGGTTTTTCTTTGTACATACATGTATTTACATATATATATATTATAAACATGTTGTTCAATGTTGTTTATTCTTAAAATATATATATATATATATATATATATATGAAGCCTCTTAGAATTGTATGGATATAGTTATTTACCCATATTCTATATTTTGAGCATTACAAAAATGTGATGAGGGCATGACATCATTAAAACTTTCTTAAATTGGAGAGGTAGAAAGTTTGAAACTTAAAAAAGAAAGGGCACCACTAAAAACTTTCTCCCCAACGATAATTACTTAATTGGGGACCAAATAAGAAGACAAAATAAAAATAATTAAATACCCACATTTTTATATGATGATTTTAACACATTTGGAGACACTTAATTATCACTTCATTAATGGCCTTCCACATCAACCATGTTTTATTGTTAATTATATATTTGTGGAAAAACTATATTATAAAATATAATTTTATAAAAAAAAAATTAAATTCATAATTATATTACAAGGTAATTTGTATAATTTTAGTAACAAAATATGTGTAAATTTAGAAATATAAATTAAAATTATTCAATTACATTATACACAAACATACTCAAGAGAATAACGTTATTTGGTAGGGTCCATTTTTGATGGTAATTAATTATAATCTTGATAACATAATTACTAGTTGGTAATTAATTATAACTATTAATTAATTTCTCTTGCTTTTGTTTTTTACCCCATAAAACTCCATCAAGTTCGTAGAGTAAAGTAATTATATTAAATAACAAACATTTGTTCCAAAAATTATTCAAACATATATATATATATATATGAACCTGAAGGTAGCACATGGTAGGTAAGCAGTAATTACTTTAGTTTTTAGAGTTGAATGAGAGACAGCTATATCTAATAGTGAATTAATCATCAAACTTAAATTGGGTAGTCAAATTTATAATTATATAGTGGATGGATTATGTGTTAGATATATGTATACACACACACACACACACACACACATATATATATACATACTGAGTAGCCCATTTAGAAAAGAATCACTTGGGCCTCTATAGATATATACATGATGATCTATTAAAGATTAAACGAATAGAAATAGACTTGAACAAGTTGGGAGAACCAAAGGGTATTTATTGATAATTGATCTGGATGAGATTTGGATAAGACCCAAATGGGCAATTCAGAAAGTAAATACCATCCAATATTGTGCGACTTCACTTCAATTTATTTTAAAAGAAAAGAAGTTGAATTTCAAGTGCTAATTCTGCTAAACTGTTTTGGATTTGTCTTTTGGTTTGGTTTTGAGTGTACTCTTGACAAACCAAGGAAGGACAGAACTCACATTCTATCTTCCCAAAAATTAAAATCTAAATTCTGTTGAGTATCTCAAATAAAAATACTATATGGGTTTCAAATAAGAGAGAAATATTTTGGTGGGTTTTTTCTATTAATATATATATATATATATAATGAATTCAAGCCTTGTAAATCAAGTTAAACCATTGGAGTCATACATAACGTGCAAGTTATGGGCATGACACAAGTAATTCAAGACTCACTCCAAAGAAAGCGCAGCCTACCACGACATCAACCCAAAAAAAGGAAAAACAAATTTCAGAAGCCAAGTTTCATAAACTTCATGAAAGTTTCATGGTCATAAGCCACTTTAGGGAAGCACTTTATCTAACTAATTTAAATGTGAGCCAACATTTTCCTTCAGAAATTCTGGTTTGAAACAAAACTATATCTGTTCAGTTCCACTTACGGGTTTATGTTACTTGTAAGGAATCATTAAGCACCCTCCCTTCCCTTCACCTCCACTCAAATCCCGTTTCGTTGCAAGCATATATAAACACAATCCTATAAATCCATTCTTGCTAAAACAAATTAGAGAGATCAATATAACAAGAAAGAAAAAGGGAAATTTACAGGTTTTATGTGATGGAGATTAAGGTACATACCGAAGACTTTCGTCATCACAGTGAAGAGAAACAGCCTCTCATGCAAGATATACCCATTCCTGATACAGAAAGGAAGAACTTGGTACAGAGAGCAATCTGTGAGACATTCAAAAGCACAGCTCATTTGGCTAATCTTTTACCTACAGGATCAGTTCTTGCTTTCCAACTTCTGTCACCCATCTTCACAAACTTAGGAAATTGTGATCAAGTCAGCCAATATATGACTGCTGGGCTTGTAGCTCTTTGTGGGTTATCATGTTTCCTTTTGAGCTTCACAGACAGCTTTAAAGACAATAATGGAAATGTCTTTTATGGGTTCGCCACACTGCGAGGCTTGTGGATCATTGATGGATCAGCTTCTCTTCCACCTGAACTTGCTGCAAAGTACCAGCTGCGTTTTATAGATTTCATGCATGCTTTCATGTCAGTACTGGTTTTTGCAGCTGTAGCACTGTTTGATCAGAATGTGATAAGTTGCTTCTATCCGACACCAACAGTTGAGACCCAGGAGGTCCTCACTTCACTTCCTGTTGGAATAGGTGTCATATGCAGTATGTTATTCGTCGTCTTCCCCACCCAGCGCCATGGAATTGGCTTTCCTGTAACTGCAAGTTAATGTTCTTTTCCTCTTTGTCCACACCAGGTGTAAATTTCTCACAGTTATAAAATGCAGAAAATCACCACTTAGTAAGAACACTTGGCAAAGGTTCATTGAAAAGACACCTTCAAACTATTTGGAGAAAGAAACTCTACTTTTATGATTACATGTCATTTGGTTCATCTAAAGCAAATACATTTAAGTACACCAGTTGCAGAACTTAGAGAAATTAGTTGCAGGAATTTAGAGAAACTACCCACTAAAGACTAGGTGGTTTAAAATACAGAAATACATAAAAGTCAGGAAATTTATGGTTTAAGATACTGATATATAAATACAGACAGATCATGTAGACTTCAAATCTTTTCTTCCCTTGCAGCCTTGTGTAGAACACCAGTACACTGTGGCCACTGAATGGAAGACTCTAATGCCTTCCCCAGTTTTCTGTCACCAAAACCCTTTAGGTCATTGAGGAACCAAAAAGATTTCCTCTTGCTTCTTCATTTTACTTACAGCTTTTCATAAAGTTGTAGACAATAAAAAGAACAGCACAGAGAGAGATCCAGGTAAACAGATTTCCATTCTTCGCATGATCTTGACACTGTTTAGGAGCAGGTATTTGTACATTCTTAGATTCAACTTCCTAACTGTTTCTGTTTCCTCACTTATCGTCCTAATTTTGTACACTTAGATTTCTGTTTCCTAAGTTTCAAACATCTACAAATGTATGAAAACCCGAGGAATTTTCCCAAGTGGCTTGTGAAGCCTTCCATATCTTGTCACTGAACCAGGAATTACACCACTGGTTTTTTTGTCGTTTGATGAGTTGTCGGTCTGAAAGGGAATCCTTTGATTCTCATAAACTGGTTCTTCTTGTAATGGTACTTGAGGGGGTGCTTTCTTTAGCTGTGAATGACAAAAAGTACAAAAACTTACCAGCGAAGCATGAGCGTTTAAGTGGTTATCTGCTTTATTGTCATCACCAACATCACTAATCAATCACCACTTATATACGGCATACTCTACTTGTTCAAACATTTTGTCATTTAAGAAAATTACACCTTTTTTGCCATTGTGTTCATGGTGTTTTGTTTTAATTTCTCATAAAATGTTTCTTGCATCAAGGAACCGACAATCTTCCTCTGTTGTTTTGACCATTGCTAGCCACAAGAGAGGCTTATAATGCTCCTTCAAGGAATTTTATTATGCAACAATGGAATCTACTGTTTGAGTTGTAACTTTTTTATGTTATAAAAAGTCGAGTGCTTATTTAAACATTATGAGCTTTTCGCTTAATAATTTGATTTCAAATAACACCTGAATTTTTTGAAAGAGTCCATTAATGACCTACGACTGATCAATTTTGGAGGCAATCTACTATTTATTTTTGACTCATTGGCTCCTTTAGGTTCATGAGGAGCTTCTAATTGCATAAGCTTTGTTCCAAATACAAAGCAAATGATACATTATTTTAGTCAACACGAACTAATTACAAATCAGCAAATTGTTTTTAGGTTGAAATAAATAAAATTCATCCCATAATAAAAGGAAAGAAAGACAGCAGGATATGCTGGAGTTTTTAATTTTATCTCCAGGAGGAAAGACATAAAAACTTTTTACACCCAAGATTTCCTCCACCTTCAATGCTTCTGGCCTTACGCTGCTTTCATTTGCTGAAAGAGGAAGAAATTAGATTCAGGTTAAAATTATAATTTTCTGCAGGGAATTGTTTACATTTGTCCATTTTTATTCACTGGTGTATATTTATGTGCTATGAGTGTGTTTAAAAATAAGACTTACTCGCTTCTCTTCTTCCATCTTGGCCTTGATGAAAGAGTAGATTGCAACTCCAGCAATTGCAATGCATGTTCCAATACCTGTCTGTGTTGAAATCTTGTTTCCTGCAAGGAGTGATTTGAGGGATTTTGCTTTCGCTTACTCTCCGGTCCAAAAGAATATCCAGTGATAAGAAATGGTGGAAGACAAAACCATAAACTTACCAAACACGATGATTGAGAAGCCAATCACGAATACACGTTTCAGCACATTGCCAACTGCATGGGTAAGAGGCGCAACCCTCTCCAAGGTGTTGGTAGCCAGCTGATCAAAAATACACCAATGACAACATATGGCACGTAGCTTGAAATTTATTAGCTTACACCATAA